AAGAGTGATCCTTTGATCCTTACTTGCCACTTTTGCAATGTAAAACAGAACTAGAGGAAGGGCTTTGCCTGTTCATTTCTTCTTTAACTGCAAGCATCTCTGGGCTATTTAAACTGTGATGAAAACAAAGTGAGTCAGTGTGACAACATTGGCAGAGCAGGGATCAGGGTGAAACCAGTTGTAAACCCAGCATCCTCTGACTGCACACCCAGCTGCCCACACGAAATGCTGCAACAAAATCAGCACAGAGAAAAAAAAAAAGCCTTTAGCTTAGCTGTGAAGAAAGCCAAGTTCGGGCGTACCGGGTGGTGATGAGGAGAGTTCCATAAACACTGATGTCGAAAGGAAACGGCCTCATTGGTATTGTAATTCAGGAGGGTCAGGAGCACTAGCGTGTGTCTCTGAATTATCTTCACAAGACAATCAGGTCAGCCTTTCATTAATTTTGCAAACCAGATTTGATCCAATTGGGGGATTTTTCACAGTAAATCAAACAGCTTCTACATTAGTGAAGGACATTTAAAAAGGAAGTTGAGCTCTGCTGTGAGCTGGGGGAAGGAAAGGGATGAATGAGTCAAAAGCCAAATCCAGACTTCTCCTCAGACTCTTGTTCTGAGTGCTGATGGTATATGAATACATTTCTGATAAGCCCTAGAGAGGAAGTTAGAGACAATGCCCAGTAACATAAAAGATATTAAAAATTTGCATTAAGCCAATAAATGAATAAATAAACCCCTTAATTTCAACTGTACCTGTAGTTCACTTGTGCTCAGCAGAAAGAAAAAATACATGCTTTTATGTATGGGGAAGGATGATCTATTGGAGCAGAAGAAAACATACAGAAAAAGGAAAGAAGACTTTGACTGACAAAGACAGGGGAAAAGACCCAAAATAAAAGGTAGGAAACGTGATGAGAGGGTAGGGAAGACGAGGAACAGAAATAATTGTGGATGGAATACTGTTTTTTTAATGTAACTTGCAGACTTAAAAAAAAAAAAAAAGAAAAAAGAACAATGTAATCATGTGATTGAAGGTTATGGTAAACAGAGAGGCCAAGGGAATAGTTGAACAACTTGCAGAGCAGACAGCTGAGGATAAACAAACCCCCAGACTTCCCCAGCCCACAGAACAGAAACAAATGGGAGAAAACAGAAACCAAGTAAGGTCTGCAGAGAATGAGAGGTATGTCTCAGTGTAATGCCAGGGGAGAGACAGACCTGCTTTTTCATCTGTATGACTAAAGAGGACCTCAGTTAACTGGGTGTTTCTTCTGCTCCCTTCTCAACCACAGGGCAGCTGAAGGAATAGACCTAACACTGTAGATTGGGGTAAGAAATGTTCTACCACTGAGATAAACCTCAATGTCTTTGAGGCACTGAAGGTGAATTTGGTTTAGAATTTTTTAAAAAAATTGCAGAATGTGCCATTTTCCCTGGTACCCCAGGTGCAGGGAGATGGGGAAGAGCAAACTCCTTTGCCTGCCATCCAGCTCACCTTCAGCACATGGGTATGCATATGTAGTCACAGAAGCAAACAGTGCATTAGTCTACTCAAGTGCACGACTTCAGTGTGAGTGTAATGGCAGCACTGTTTGTGAGGTGGCACCCTGGTTCTGCCACAGCACATTCACAAATGAACATTGCTGTGCATGCCTAACACGTTTTCTGCAATGCTTTCTCTAAAAGCCACCACAGAGCCGCTGAGGCTGGCAGGCACTCTTAGAGATATCTGTTCCAACCCCGCTGCTCTGAGTTGCTCAGAGCCATGACTAGTTGGGTTTTGAGTATCTCCAAGGGTGGAGATGCCCATAACCTCTCTGGGCATCCGGCTCCAGTTTTTAACCTCCCTCATAGTAAAAAATTTTTTCTTATGTGTAGGTGATATCCCAGTCAGGTTCCTGGCCTTATGTTTGGAAACGGCTTCCAGTGGCAATGGCTTCCAGTGGAAATTGCTCCATCACCTTCCCACAGACTGAGGTGAGGCTTACAAACCTGTAGTTTCACAGATCCTCCTTCTTGCCCTTCTTGAAGATGGGAGTGACATTTGCTTTCTTCCACTGCTCAGAAACCTCTCTTGATCACCATGACCTTTCAAAGATAATCAAGAATCACCTCACAATGACACCAGCCAGCACCCTCAGCACCCATGGGTGTCTCCCATCACGTCCTGTGGGCTTAAGTATGTCCAGTGTGTTTAAGTGCTCTCTAACCATGTCATCCTTCATGGGGGTAAGTCTTCCTTGCTCCAGACCTTCCCTCTGGTCTGTGGGGCCTGGTGTGGCTGAAGGTCAGTCTTACCTGTAAAGACGAAGACAAAGAAATACCTTGGGCTTTTCCATGTCCTTTGTCACTGGGAGTGGGGTCAAGCATCTAGGTAAAATGTTTACCAGAGCTGAACATTTTGTACTGAATTACAAATAGCTTCCCAAGAAGGATTGCCTTTTATCACTGCCATGACTCTTGCCAATTTGAGGGAGCAGGCTAAGCAATACTTGGTAAGCTGCCCTGCCAGTCAGTGGTGGGAGTCCCAACATTCAGGTACAACACTGTTCTGTAAACCCTGAAAGGTCTCACCTATCCTACCAAGGACTAATGTCTCTCTTTCATAATCAGTCATTCCCACTAGGCTTAATTTCTTTAAGTAAATACAAAGTACAGACATGGTATTGTCCCGAGAGTGTACTCCCGAACTCAAAATCCTAACACATTGAGGCATCTATCCCAACCACTGACCCCCATCTGAGTCATTTCAATGAACCATTCCCGTGTGCTGCAAAGCTTTCACTTGCTGCTTGCAGACCAACAGAGAGAAAAGGTATGCTGGGTAGCTACACCCCATCAAACAGGAAAGGCAAGAAACTCCAAGGCAAATTTTGCCTCCTGATGCCAAGTGAAGCAGGTAGTGTTTTGTGGTAGTGCTGTCAATCAGACATGCCCCCGCCTTGGGGCATTGTAATCAGTAGGAGATCAGGGCTTCTCACCACATGGTCCTTTGGGACTGAAAGGAGCACATCCAACTTCTACCAGCAATGAACTTGTCAGGACTCAGCCAAAAATGCTCAGGTCTTCTGATATTTAACTCCTTTTCCCCTTTCATCTGCAAATATAACAAGAGTGAAGTAATATATCTTCTTGTCAATAGTACCTGGACAGCTAGTCTGTTTTGTGAAAACAAATTCAGAGCACCACTCATTTTGCTCCTTTTTCACCAGGATGCTTTTTGCTACTGGTCCTTGACAGTAGTACCTGGGGATATAAATGATGTTCTGCTACTCTCCAGGGCTGTCCCACTTTAGCAAAAGAGGACATAGCCAGGCCACTCAGAGACATTCCGCACAACCCTCAATAATGCATGGCATTAATCTAGCACCCCATTTTCTAGAGACAAATTGTTGGCACGCTGGCCACCTGAACCACTTGTGTTCATGCAGGAGTGACACTTTGTTTGGAAGACCCAGAGAAAAAAAAGGCTTGTTGTTTTTCAGTGTTTCAGGTGGAAAATAACTTCTGACACTTGCTACTGTAAAGTTTTAAATAAGCCTTTATTCATTCAGATAACAGAGACATTGATCAATGGCTGTCCTGGGTCCATGCACATATTATAGAGGAACAGAGTAGTTTGCTATTCTTATGCAACCTAAGGAAGGAAGTTGGCTGTGGCTGAAAATCAGGAGTGCACTGTGTGTTGGGTGGATTTTTAGCTCTACATTAAATCTCTAGTGTCATGTCAGTCAAACCATTCCTATGTCTTCATGCTCTTAGCAGGTGTTCTTGTATCATATGAAGGTCACATCACCAATGTTAGTTGAATAGGTGAAGCACTCTGTATTGGCTCAGTTTTGTTTCATTGAACTCCATAGTGGCTTTAGCAACATAATTAAGCCCATTTTTGCCACTTCTACAAGCTCCCTCAGACTGCAAGATTTGAAACATTGTTCACCTCTGCTTGTATGCCCCTACACCTCAAAACCAGTTTGTTTGCACTCGCAGCACCTGATTCCTCTGTATTCTCACTTCTGCGTGTGCTACATTACTTCTGTCATGATCATCAAAGATAGAGGACAATCTGCACTAGCAATACAGTCTACAGATACGTGAAAGTGGGAGACTAAGACCAAGTGAGGAATTCCAGGTGAGAGACAAGGATTAGAAAATTCTGAGACAGAAATTAGAAAAAGTAAGTGAGGGAGCTGAGGTGGGAAGGGGGAGTTCAGCTGGGCTAGAAGACTGACAGGCCATATAGAGCACTGGCCCTGCAGAAGAGATGGCTACAGAGGCAGGAGCAGGTGTATGAGGCTAGGGATGGGAAAGCGCCATGCTGAGTGGTTTGGGGCAGTTGAGGGTCGAGCCTGAGGACAGAAATATCTAGAAACATCTAAGCCCACTAGTCAGGTTCTTGGCCAGCCCAGAAGCCAATGGATAACCTCTGCTGTGTGTTCTGTCTTCAGTGTCTGGCAAATGTGAAGAAGACAAACCTGCTGCTGCCCTTATGTCCTCTGTTAGCTCAAGACAAAGAGGTTTGTGCTGTAGACCTAAAAGCTCCAAGCTGTTTGATTGCTTTTACACAGAAGAACATACCCTCCCTGGCTTTCTAAAGTGCCAGACAATGCAGACTCCAAGTTGAAAAACACGTGTTAATGTAACCCAGAGTTCTCCGTGGTGGAGAGCACACTATCTCCTGTGGCTTCTTTTCTACACATTTCCAGAATTGATCCTATTTGTAAATTTAAAAATTGAAGTTCCATAGGAAAGATGGGTGAAAAACACAGGTCCCTGTGGAGCTAGAGCATCTCAGCCTCATCCAAAGATTCACTTGGTCTTTTTCACACCATGTTGTCATTTGCCACAGTCCTTTCTTTCTTTCTCACTGCCTCTCTTGCCTTGAGTATTGGAAACCAAAAGTTGACCTGAAAAGACAGAAATATGATGCTATGATCATGGTATTACTGAGTTAGAGACCGCCTAGACACTAACATCCTGTATAGTCAGTATTGAAGGCTATTAAAAAAACCAAACCAAACCAAACTATATGTGTCTGCAGCTATCTATCTGGATTTGCCATAAATATATGCATGTGTGTTTGTATTTCCATTAGTGCATATAGACATACATATACAGGGTGAATGTTTTTGCAAGCAAAAAGTTCTGTTTCCTAATGTTATTTGCAGTTCCACTCCCACTGTGTTTTAAAAAAGAAATATATCACCTTCCATTTTGCTAAGCAACAACTGAACCTCCTTCTCAATATTAAGAGGCTGCTCACAAACGCCTAACATTTGCTGTCTAGATTTCAGGAATACCCGTTGTGCTGGAGGTGCTTTTCATCGTGTCTGATGCATGTGTGTTGGAGGACAGAACAAAACAATTATATGATCTAATCTTACCAATAGGCAACTTGTCTCCGGGCCCTGCGCAGGAGAGCACTGGGGAAAGTCTATTAGCCCATAATTGAAATTAACAAGTGGTTAAGTATTTCCTGGATCTGGCTACTAACCTGAGAGAAGGAGACTTTTTTTTTTCCTTAGAGCTGATGGCTTACCGTTCTAGCAAACCCATTCTTCTCAGTTTTCCCTTGTAGCTTTGCTCTTTTCTTGAGTAATTTTGCATGCAAATATTGTATCCGTTTCATCTCAGTGTCAGGATAAAATGAAGTTGACACGAGTATTTTAAGTTGGGTCAGGAAGCCAGAGAATAACCCAAAAATGATTAAGAAGAAGATGATGACTCCAAGCTGGATCCATGTTGTGGAGAGACTGAGCTCTGGCTGAGGGATGCAGTCATGCTTAAACAGAGAGATCTTGAAAGGATCAGTCTTTGCAATATGCTCTCTCATGCCAATGATAAAGCTGTTCTCATTCCTCTGGACAAGAAAAGGAGGAAAAAAAGAGTTGATTATAATACTGATTCCCTCCTTTCTTAATATTTCTCCTGTTGGACATTCAGATTTACAAAGGACCATAAATCATCTGGTCCATCCAGTGTCTATATATGCCATACTCATAACAATATATTTATTGGCTATTTACAAATGTTTCAGATGGCATTTTCACCATTTCTCTTGGGAGACCATCCCACAACTTGGACTGTTAAAAACATATACCTTCTCAGTGGCCCTGACAGACAAATATTTAGCTAATCCAGCTATAATGGTTTAATATATTCCCACTCCCATGAATCTGCTCAGATCATCTATTGGAGGGTCAGAGTAAAACAGCAGAGCAGCATGTGTCTGTCGCTTTGCCTGTGGCTCAGTACATGATCAGCAGTGCTTCCACACCCACCCAGGCAGGTGCTCTGACCACAAGGTTACCACTCAAAGCAAGCCACCTCTCCTCCTCTAGTAGGTGCCTTTGCTTAGAGCAGCTGATATCTTGCACTCCTTGTGGACTGAAATGCTGAATGAGAGGGACTAAATTAGACATGCTACTGGGACCAGTATTTCATACTGACAGGCAACTTTCTGCTCTGAGTGCAGGAACACTGTAGGAAGACTGAATCACTCAGCCCTCTTTTCTGACCATGTCAGGAGGATATGTAACCCTTCCTTGTGGCCCTTCTAGCCACCTTAAAGAGGCCAGGCACCTCTCATTGCAATGCTACAGGCTGGGGGAGGAGTGGCTGGAGAGCTGCCTGGAGGAAAAGGACCTGGGGGTGTTGGTTGACAGCCGCCAGAATATGAGCCAGCAGTGTGCTCAGGTGGCCAAGAAGGCCAATGGCATCCTGGCTTGTATCAGGAATAGAGTGGCCAGCAGGACCAGGGAGGTGATAGTGCCCCTGTACTCGGCACTGGTGAGGCCGCATCTTGAGTACTGTGTTCAGTTTTGGGCCCCTCACTTCAAGAAGGACATGGAGGTGCTGGAGTGTGTCCAGAGGAGGGCAACGAAGCTGGGGAAGGGTCTGGAGCACAAGTCTTATGAGGAGTGGCTGAGGGAGCTGGGGTTGTTTAGTTTGGAGAAGAGGAGGCTGAGGGGAGACCTTATCGCTGTCTACAACTACCTGAAAGGAGGTTGTAGCGAGGTGGGGGTCAGTCTCTTCTCCCTAGTAACAAGGGATAGGATGAGAGGAAATGGCCTCAAGCTGTGCCAGGGGAAGTTTAGGTTGGCTATTAGGAAAAACTTCTTCACCGAAAAGGTAGTCAGGCACTGGAACAGGCTGCCCAGGGAAACGGTTGAGTCTCCATCCCTGGAGGTATTTAAAAGATGGGTAGACGTGGTGCTCGAGGACATGGTTTAGTGGTGGAGTTGGCAGTGCTAGGTTAACGGTTGGACTCGATGATCTTAAAGGTCTTTTCCAACCTTAACGATTCTATGATTCTATGATTTATTGCGAAAATCAGGTGCCCAAAGTATGCCACCCATTTTCAGCCTGTTAGCCTTTCCTTGACATTATCCTGTTCCAGTCTGTCTCAGTACATTTTAACCCTAAACTGAACCAATGTATAAGCAAGGAAAAACTGCATTAGGAACTCAGTATGAAACAGTGGCACAAGTCATGAAGAACTTTATTGTTCATATGAAGAATAAACATCTCGAGAAGTTGTTGAGTCTGTCCTGCTCACCTAGCCAGCTTTCTAGACTCCCTGAGGTCAGCAGCCCTGAGGCTTGTTACGACAAATCTGTTGAGGTTGGATTTTACATTTTAATGTGACTAGCCTTCCTTGGGGAACTAGAAAAAATCTGATGACAGCATAATTTTCTCTTTTGGCAGAGTAGACCAGCTCTCCACAAGGTGAAGACTGCACATAAAGAGAGCAAATTCGTAGTACAGGACTCATGAATCAGACAGGCTCAGGCTCAGGCCCTCTGTGTATGGATGGTGGGACTAAGCTCCTTCTTTGCCCTGACTTGCATCACACCCAAGGCAGGTCATGATACAGGTCTGTCCTGAAGAACACAGGCAAAACCACACACAGCAGTACACAGAGAATAGCTGAGGCTACAGCAAGTTGCTTAGGGCTACGTTCAGTTGGGCCTTTAATATCTCCAAGGATGGAGACTCCGCAACCTGTCTCAGAAATCTGCGCTAGTGTTTGATCACCTGAAAAGTTAAAAAAAAAAATAAATTCTTATGCTGAAATGGAATTTCCTTTAATTTGTGCCCATTGCACCACTGAGAAGAGTCTGCCTCTTCTTTCTTACATCCCCCTCCCTTCCATCAATTATTTATACACACTGATGAGATCCTCCTGAGCTTTCTCTTCTCCAGCCTGAACAACCCCAGCTCTCTCAGCCTCTCTTCTTATGACAGATGCTCCAGTCCTTCACTTATCTTCTTGACCCTTTACTGAACTCACTCCAGTATATGCATGTACTGGGGAGCCCAGCTCTGGGCACAGCACTCCAGTGCTGAGCAGCACTCACCAGTGCTGAGCAGAGGGGAAAGATCACCTCCCTCAACCTGCTGGCAGTGCTCTGCCTAATGCAGCCCAGAAGAGCCTTTTCTTTGCAATAAGGGCACATTGCAGGCTTGTGGTCGACTTGGTGTCCATCAGAACTCCCAGGGCTTTTTTCTGCAAAGCCACCTCCCAGCTGGTTGGCCCCCAACATGTATAGTGCATGAGGTTATTCCTCCCCAAGGACTGCAAGACATAGCATTTTCCTTTGCTGAACATTGTGAGGTTCTTGTCAGCCCAATTCTCTAGCCTTTTCAAGTCCCTCTGAATGGCAGCACACTTGTGTGGTTACAATCTGTTCCTCTGTTCCAGTCATTAATGAAGAGGTTAAACAGTATACGTTCCAGTATCTACTCCTGGGGAACATCAAAAGTGACTTTGTGTTACTAATCAGAACCTTTTGGGTCCAGCAGTTCAGCCAGTTTTCAGTTCACGTCACTCTCCATTTATCTAGCCCATGCTTCATCAGCTTGTCAATGAGGATGTTGTGGAAGACAGTGTTGGAAGCCTTAATAAATGCACAGTCAGCATCCACTGTTCTCTCTTCATCCAACAATCCAGTGATCATATCATAGAAGGCTGTTAGGTTGGTCAAGCATGATTTAGCCTTTGTAAATCCATGCTGAATACTCCTAACAGCCATCTTGGACTTCTCATATTTGGAAATGGCTTCCATGATGATCTTCTCCATCACCTTCCCAGGGATCCAGGTGAGGCTGATTGGACTGTAGTTCCCTGGATCCAGGCCAAGATGGCTGTTAGGAGTTAATTTTCTTCCTAGTAGCTGGTATAGTGCTGTGTTTTGGATCTAGTATGAGAATAATGTTGATAACACACTGATGTTTTAGTTGTTGCTAAGTAGTGTTTATATTAGTCAAGGTCTTTTTAGCTTCCCATGCTCTGCCAGGTGCACAAGAAGCTGGGAGGGGGCACAGCCAGGACAGCTGACCCAGACTGGCCAAAGGGCTGTTCCATATCATATGACGTCATGCTCAGTATATAAAGCTGGGGGAAGAAGGAGGAAGGGGGGACGTTCGGAGTGATGGGATTTGTCTTCCCAAGTAACCGTTACACATGATGGAGCCCTGCTTTCCTGGGGATGGCTGAACACCTGCCTGCCCATGGGAAGTAGTGAATGAATTCCTTGCTTTGCTTTGCTTGTGTGCCCAGCTTTTGCTTTGCTTATGAAACTGTCTTTATCTCAACCCACGACTTTTCTCATCGTCTTTTTTTTCTTGTCCCTCCCACCAGGAGGGAGTGAGCAAGCGGCTGTGCGGTGCTTAGTTGCCAGCTGGGGTTAAACCAGAACATCCACATAGATAAATGCAGGAATGAAAGTCCTTCTTCCTATATTTACTGTTCTCTAGAAATACAGTGACACTTTGGACAGTGCAGAGAACTGTCTGGTTCCATCCAACATACGTATCTGTAAAGGCAATGGCCCTTTTTGAAAGAAAATGAATGATAATGCCGTGAAAGAACTTATGGCTTGGCTGTACGTCTGCTCCTGCAGCTGCTGAAATATTTCAACACTAAACTAAGAAATGTAAAGTACTGATAAGTACTTACTTGCTGAAAGAGGCTGAGTTGAATCTCTAGATCCGGTACTCCTTGGAGATGTTTGTTCACAGAAATAATTAACCAATAAAATAAATAATCTACTGCAGCAAACAGAAGCCAGATGCAAAGATGAATAATTACAGGGAGAAAAAAATACTGCATGTTTTTTCTGTCCTTCCTTGTGAGGCAGAAAGATGGGATTGTCACATAATCTTTTCTTTCTTTTCTGTTAAGTGGCAGAAGGCAGGGTCTTTGCTGTTGCTTTTGGTGCTCATCAAACACAATGAACTCTTTAGTGATATAAGTATTCTTAAATTTGGCACTGTGAGACCCCACAAATTTTTTGATAAAGAGGCCAGTTCCAAAAGAAGCTAGAAAAATCCCCACTACAGGCAGTACTTTCTGGCCTATATAGGGCAGTATAGTCAGCATAAAAGATATCTGGTTAGCAACTCTCTGGATTTCTTGCCTTGTGTCATTTAGCTCTTGTTTTAATGCATCATCTGAAATTGAGTAAGATGGTGTGAATTCGTGCCTTAGGAACACTATATATTTAGATAGTTCAGTGGAAAGCTTGGCTGCCTCGTAAATCCATTTTACTGCCTCAACATAATATTTTATCAAGGCAAATTGCTCATACTCCAAATGACAGGTTATACTGTCTGCCAGAACCTTTAGGTTATGAAAAATATTTTGGATGTGGCCGGCCACTACGATGCCTGTGCCAGCAGTAATAAGAGCATCCCTGCCATTTCGCAGTCCGCAAGAAAGAAGGAACAGGACACTAAAACAGCGCAGGTGCTTGCAACAGGAGAGCGCGATAGAAAGCGAGATCCAGATGAATCCAGAAATCAATAAGGGACCCAAAGGGTGATGTGCCAGGGAGAAGTGCATGCCAAGGAATAAGAGAAAGCTTGAGAGGAAGCCAACTGCAGAGCAAACTGCAAAAAGCTGCATCAGATACTTCCAGCCAGGCTTCCTTTCAGATCTAAAAATTCCCCAGGCATTCTGGGCTATTGAGACAAACATTCGCATTTTCTTCTGGTTGTTGCTGACACTGCAATAGCTCAAACTAAAAGCAAAGGAAAACAAAAATACTGTTAGTTACAGGGTCACGCTATTGACAATGACGTGCTTTTAACTGGCTGATCAATAGTACCTCACATTGCAAAAAATGCAGGTCTGACTCACATGGGGGCTGAACAGCCCTGCGTGAGACCCAGATGTCCATCCCCGATATCACATATATAAATATGGAAGGGATGACTCTAAAAGGTATTCTATCTTTTTGTCGAAGTATCTTTGTCCTTTTACTTTTTGTACACTTTGATTTCTCATTTTCTGTATAGACACAGCAGTTCATATGTACATATATGTGTTTGTTTCTGTATGAGGAGAGAATGAGATGGATGCAAGCCTCCCATAGCACCCAGTGCTTCCCCGCAGACGCAAGCTTTGCCTTGCAGGGGCACTAGGAAGGAAAACAGGGGAGCATGGAAACTTGCCATCGATACCCCGATGCAGGGGAGCGTGGCTTGACCCACGGGGAGCAGCCAGAGCAGCTGCCAGGGAGGGAGGAACGTGTGGAGCAGCATGTGCACGCTGCCCGGGGATGGGGAACGAAGCTCTCCTTTTTCAGCTGGAGGTAGGTCAGTACAGAGGGAAGAAAGTGTGTCTTAGAGGCATCATTCCCTCTTTGGGTCTCTCCTGGGATAGCACAGCTACAAATTGGCCCATATACACTTTTAACCCTAATTGCTTGTACTTCTCACCATCTCTCCTGCCTACCAGCATGCCCATACTGTAAATTACAGAGTAGTCCTGTGAGATTCAATTCAGTTTCATGGGAGACAGTCCAGTGTTCACATCTTTCCTTCTTCTTTTACAATATAATATTTATAATGCAATTTATCCAAAGATGCAAGATCAATTTATATGCATATTAGCCTTTTAATATACTAGAACAAATGAAATACTAACTAAATAAAATAAACTGTTGCAATTTTATCCTATAATAGGGAACAGTTGTCTTCGCAAATACATCCTGAAGGTATTACTTTGTCTTTTGTTTAGCTTGAACACAGCAGGTAGCCAGGAACTAAACTATTATTTTGTACACATACTGTATTTTACTGGCATTTGACTTTATGAATTCTGCTAGCATTCACTGCACAATTTTCCCCTTCCTCTCGCTGTAATTAGTTATTAGTTATGTCATTATCGGCTTTGCATGCAGCAGGAGATGAGGGTGATTGGAGCAGGCGTCTGACCCCAGCTGGGACCTTCTTGGACTGCTGTGCTCAGTGTGCTGCTTTTCCTTGGCCTGACTTGGGCCTGATCCTTTCTAGTGCTGAGGGGTATCCTGAAAGATGCTGAGCATTTTCAGTGCTTAATAGCTTCAGCAGGGTGGGCAGTAGCTCTCAGGGTGGGTTCAATCCCTGGCACTCTCACTTTGCTTGGAAAGTCTGAGGAAATTGCTTCCCTCCGGGGCCTCAGCTAACTCAGCTGTGAAGGGAGTGTATCAGCAATTAGCAGCTCCTTCACAGGAGCAAAATCAGTTAATTAACGTCCCCGAAGCATTCAGGGAGCTGTAGGTAGAAGTCACCATGTGGTTGGGAAACTGGTGCAAGCTAAACGGGGAGGAGAGGTAGCACACAAGCCACAGGACTCCAGCTTTGCCGTGAGCAGAGCTGTCCTTTGCTTACATGGACAGTCTGCTTTGTCCTCTTCCTACTGAACTAGAAATAATGAGGCATTTTTAGAAAACCTAATTAAACAGGAGATGTTCATCATCCTGGAGTCATGCAGAACCAGACCTAACAGCCAGCAAACCCTGCTAGCGAATCCTGAACTTCCTAGGTCGGATCCTTAAACAGTACGTGCTGCCATGTCTTCTTGGTAGATCTAAGAAAAATTGCCCTGTATGGTGAATAGATCTGGAGTTCTGTTCTTGATTTAAGAAGCCATAAACATCAAAGGCTAAAAAGCTAGCATTTATGTATTATTCTGCCAAAACTTCCATGTGAGAAAATAACACGTTTTGAGTTTTCTTTTGCATCACTGATTTCACAGCTGTTCTCAAGCATAGTTTCTGCATGGTTTTGCGTCTTTGTATGTATGGGTATAGTGTATTCTTCTTAATTTTTATAAGGATTGGGTAAATGGCTGCAATATGTGACTGGGAGTTTGGCATGACTGCGTCTAAGTCATGGAGAGAGAGTTAAGAATGAAGCCTTAGAATTAACAAAAGCCGTACTTCTGGACCAGGAGGCTGGAGACTTGCAAAATATGGACAGAATTTGAAAATAATAAAAAAAGTCTCCTTTACTGGGCAGATTCAATGCTGTTACATGAGATCACTGCACTGCTCAGCACGTACATGGCAGGTTTGTCCCTAGCCTGCATGAACCTGGAGTTTTAAGGCAGGAAAGACATCATAAGGAGCCACTGATTTTGGGAGCCTGTGGCACGGATGCTCGGGTGTTTCTGTGTGACTGCTGAAGGTTGGGAAGGGAGCATCCCCGTTCCCTGCAGAGCCTGTCTCTGAGCTCAGCCACCACAGGGGTCAGAGTCAGGCCCACAGCTTGCATCTCTGTGGCTTGTCTGACACCTCCCCCATAAGACATCAGCAACAGAAGTAGATATTCAGCACAGGAGAATCACGCAAAGGATGAAAACTCTAAACCTAAAAAAATGTGGAGGCTGAAAATTCTTGTATCAGCAGGCACTTAAACAGCTGTGAATGTTTGGGAAAGGAAAATCACACTCTGGCTCTGGCTAAATCTTTGGCTTGACTAAAGAGGCTAATTCAGTGCTTAAAGAAATAGTAAACCTTGAGAACTTTATGGAATGATTCCTCTTGAAAACATAAATCACAAAAGCTCTCCTGAAGCTGTTAGGTGCAGATACAAATTCTAACAGGAGGCTGACAAGAACAAAGCCTTCATTTCAACTGCAGTCTGAAGGAAAGCATTTTTTATTCTGTCCTGTAACATGAACTAATGTGGGGGCTGCTACCATTACTTATGTAGCATAAGGAAAGAAATATTCTTGGAAAGCAGTTTCTTGCTCTGAAGTGCCAGTTTCTTTCCACCATCGTTTCTTGTGATGTACACCACAGAGGGGAGCTGGAAACCCTTGTGCTCTAGCTCTGCCTTTGAACCTGATTTTTCTATAGGGTTCAAGGGGAACGTCTCTATGCCTTAGTTTCCCTCTCTAGGAAATGTTTACTCAGATCTGGAAGCATGATATTAACCTACCATATGGCATGCTGGCAGGAGTAATTATGAGAACAAATTCTCAAAAGGAGCCTCTCCAGCAAGGAGTTTGGGCCATACTTCTTAAGGCTTGTGATGTACTGAAATTAATGCAATATAATTAAGAGGTATTTTTCTAGTTTCATTTTTAAATAAAGAGGAAAATTTTAAAGAGTTTTTAAGATCCTGCTTGTGGTATTTCAGATACACAGGCTACAGTTTTTAAGTAAGCAGAGTAGAAGTACAAAGCATCAAGAGTCCCTAGAAAATGCCTTTCCAGCTTAGCCACAAGCCCTGTGCTAGAGCTATGTCATTTTTATACAATACGTATTCACACCATGTATGATTTCTTCCCTGCTTGCTATGGAGACTCCTCCATATTAAATGTTCAAGATGTGGCCATTTTCACTACCAATTTGGACCTGTCCTAGTCCCTTGCTCACCCTGTATCTGATGATGGCTTGCTACAGTTTAGAATAGAATAGAATTAAATAAGTTCAGTTGGAAGGGACCTACAATGATCATCTAGTCCAACTGTGATGGATTGAAACGCCTTATATTTGCAGGGTGTATTTCTGAAACCTTCTCTACCCAGGCTACTGCTTACTTAAAGGTGATCACCAGGCCTACATTTCTAGTATATGGATCAGCCACCCATGCAAACTCTTTGCCAATTTGTAATACAATGGAAGAAGTGGATGTGTCCTAAAAATGTATAGTGAGAAAAAGAATTGGATTTACTAAATAATTAGCTTTTTCGGCAGACACACGGCTGATTTGGCAAAGCACGACAGAGTCAGATCTTTAAGTCTACTTTCTATTTTGATGCAGACCGAACTCAGACAAAGCTGGGAGACTACAAGTCCCATTGAGTTGGGACTGATTAGTACCACCCAGTTTTTGTGCCCTCACACAAAGTCTAACACAACTTTTCTCTGTTGTTTGAGCTGATTTCAGGAGGAGCATGGCAGTTTGGCAGGCCTTTTGCCCCGTGCAATGCACAGAATCCTCATACATAAAAATAAATTCCTATTAAGAGAGACACTAAGTTAAATGAGAAACTTATATCCCATTGGTGCTAAAGCTTCAGCTACACAGTGATCTTTGCCTCATAATTCCTGTTTGGATTTTATAAAGGAATTAAGGAAGGCAAAGCACACAATAAGAATATAAAACCAAATATTTCCTTTTTTGGCAGTTTCAGCAGCCTTCTCTCCTAGCCTGGATCAGTTACATTGAAATGTAAGAGAATTACTTCCCTTTTTTGGATACTGTCAAAAAATACAATGCTGAACTACGGTTTAGTAACAGGCAAAAATACAGGAGACAGGCCCACATTATTTCCTTTGGTCAATGCAGGGCATTCAGCAAAGAAATAAAAGCCCAGTCAAAAATCCAGAAATTTTATGTAACTATCCCCAAGGCTTTGTTGAGACCCCTATCATTTCTTGTGTTCACATTATTTGCTTTTAACTGCAGGAGGAAGGAGAGTAAACGGTACTAAACACAACAAACACAAGTGAGGACTAAAATATCTAATCAAATACATGCACGTAGGAACTTGAAATACTGAACAACACAGCAATGCAAATAAAACAACTTATACACGTGCAAAAACAAACAAACAAAAATAACAACTGATCAATCTCTTTTTCTTCATTTATTTAAAATACATGGCTCAGGAAAATTCTGAACACTATAAGATATTATCAAGTCTTTAGGATGCCACAAATTGGTTAAATGTCATCTAATATCAGATGTCTGTAGCGTAATGTCCAC